TAATCGTCTTCTATGTGTTTCATCACTCGAATAGATTCTGTAACTTTGTATTTCAGGTTCAGATAAGAATTTTTAGTAAATAAATGCTTTTAACCTAAATAATTTAAAAAATAATTTTTTATTTTTATTTATTTATTGAGTATTACAACAATCTGTCACTTGGACATTAGTTATAGTGAGGTAGAATTACATTCACATATATCTACAAAAAATATATATATATTTTTTTTAGTAGGAGTTTTCACTAATAGTGGGTTTCCTTAACCTAAATCTTGGATGGCTTCTTTCCATAATATCCTATCTAAGGTCCATTCTTTCCGTAGACCATGACCTATCATGGATTCCTCCACTTTGTTATCTCAGATCTTCCTTGGTCTTCCTCGACTTCTTTGTCTAATTTTCCATAAGTGGACTCAAAAAAATATAGAGTACAAAAAATAATAATTATGTTAACGTGATATTTTTGGCTATCGGTAGAAATACGAATTATTTATTTATTTATTTGATATTTTGTTGCCTCTACCCTGTAGGGTCATTGGCAACTCCTTAAAATTACACTCTGTTGTAGAGTTTTATCTCTTTTAAAAACCTTAAAGTTTTTTTGAATGCACTTTCACTGTCTTGTAGATTTTGTTTTAGACTCTGTGCCATGTGTTCAAATGAAGGGCAGTCTTGAATAATGTGCTTTACTATCCTTTGGACATTGCAGCTCTCGCAGGTCGGAGGATCAAGTCCTCTTAGTAGGTAGGAGTGCGAGAACTCACAATGTCCGATTCGCAGTCTGCAAAGGGCTGTCTCCTCTTTTCGAGATGATCGGTGAGAAGTTTCCCATTTTAAACAGTGGGGTTTAATTTCTTTTAGTTTCGATTCTCCTTGTTCCCATTTGTTTTGCCACATGTTCCACACAGTTTCCTTAATTTTTTTTTTGACATAATCCTCTAGAGGGATTTCATTAATTGATTTTATGGATATTATATCTGGCTTTCTTGCCATGTTGGCTGCTTGATCGGCTTGTTCATTACCGATGATCCCGCAATGCTAAGGGACCCAAATGAACAATACTTCTTTGCACTTCTCCCTTAGTAGCCCCCACACGTTTCTTACATCTTTTGCGAGAGTGGTTTTGGGCCTGGTAGAGTCTATCACCACTGCCCAATTGGTAGTTTCACTTATCTCTATGTGTTTTAGAGTTTCTCTGATTGCTATCATTTCATCAGTAAATACTGAAGAATTAATTTATAGCTCTTTTTCCGCGTATAGATATATAAAAATCGTTCTATCATTAACTTTATTAAAAGTCTATTGTTGTTTTTGTAATAATTAACGATCAGTCAGAACGGAATCTGAATGCTGTATGAAGAATTTTGTCTTAATAGACATACTGCTTGGCTTAACAAAAGAAAATAATAAATATTTGTGGTTCAGTTGAAATTAGAGTTTGAAATTGAAGGTTTTCTAGCAAAAATTTAAATAAATCAAATGTGTAGGATATCTCCACTTGATTTATGTACAAAACTTGATACCAATTTTACACTGGTATAGGCTTGTAAAAGGGCTGATGCTAACAGAGGTTTTATTTGCCGAATCGCTAAATAATATTCCTAATGTTTTATAAAATAATTATTTTATTTGTTTTGTTTAAACATTAATTTACATTTGTCAACTGCATGTTGACAATCAGAAAATGAGCCGACAATAATAGAAATAATGACATGTCAGTCTTAGAGAAGAACAGTACTCAGCAAGCACCACTTCATGGCTTGATTCAGTTACTTAGGCTTGGTAAGAAAGGAGATCTCTCATCCAACCCCTTTTTGGTCTCATTTCCATAATCAGGGTTATGTCAACTGAAGCAATGTCTCTTATTAAACTGTCATTATATACGTTTAAAATTATATAAAATCGTCGGTAAACGGCCGTTACATGTTGGTCAAGATAGGTGGAGGTCAGTTTTAGAGTATTGTTAGTCAGGTACCAAAATGATTTGTTATGACTCGTAATTATTTTGATTGGAGGTTTGAGGTTTTTGTAGGTGGGTCTTGTTGGTGATAGCGTATATCTGTGTGACCGTATAGGCTTAAGTAGGTATGTATATATATTCACTTTCTGTCGAAGATAAGACGAAGTTAAAGTACCGTGTCTGTTTAAGGAATTGGTTGTCAATATAAACTGAAGCACAGGTATTTTTTCGAAGAGTAAATGTTATATGTATGTATTTGTCTTGATTTATTCAAATTTTTCATTGTTTTTACAATGTCTTCTTATTTCAGTAAGTGACGTAAGGTAAGTGAGGCCTGTGAAGGATCTTGTTGTTTTCTGAGCATTGTATCGTCTGCATAAGTAGCTGTCAATGTCTCCTTGTGAGCAGTATATACAGTATATATTGTATGTGTATACAATAGTAGAGAGACCAATTCTGACCCTTGGAGAACTCCTGCCAAGATTATACAAATTGAAGAAATTTCTTTGCCGTTCCGAACTGAGAAAAATATGTCGAAAAGGAAAGATTATTATTAAATTATTTCTTAAAAAAACAAAAAGTTTAATGAATATTTTAATAAACAGCGAATTCCAGAAGCGAGGGGGACCTGGAAATAGATAAATAAGAACTGTGAGGGATGGAACGACATCTAAAAAATTAGCATGGGGCTAAAGCTATGCCAATTAGAAATGTCTTGATATAAATATATTATATGATTTTTTAAATTTCAAATATTTAACCTTATTTTCGACTACGAATTTCATAAAATTAGTAATGTTAGACTGGGTTTTTATTCTTCGTTTGCCTTTCTTTATTAAATGAAAGTAGCTGCAATGTCTGCGAGAGCTGCAATGTCCAAAGGACAGTAAAGAATATTATTCAAGACTGCGCTATATTTGAACCTACAAGGAAGAAATTAGGCATGGCACAGAGTCTAAAACAAAATCTACAAGACAGTGAAAGTGCATTTAAGAAATCTTTAAGGTTTTTAGAAGTGTTGCCAATGACCTTACAGGGTAGAGGCAACAAAACATCAAATAAATAAATAAAAGTTTTAAAGTATTAGTTTTTAAGTATTTCAACTTATAAAAAACTTATTGTGATAATTGTGATCCAGAAACTGCGCTCTTTTTTTCAAGGACCCAGTTTCGAGTACGGTATTGGTAAATAATTATTTAAAGTGTTTCATCAGCCATGGATCTGGAGATCCTCCTGGGACACGCCAATAATTGTATAAAGTATAGAAATGTATAAACTTTGATTAATTAATCTATCAAGGGAAAAATCTGGACAAAAATCACCTCCTTGCACAAACGTTGTTCATGGAACTAACTTTTTTTTTTTGTATAAAGGTTTCAGAAAAAATCCTATCTTGCAAACTAACAGAGTTTCCTTGCACTGAATCCAGGACCTTATTTTTTCGTGACTAGGTTTTATTATTTTATACCAATTTTATCTATCTATGGTTGTCAATATCTTTGCTTAAATCTTCTTAAAATATAATATTATATTACGGATTACATATTTTATTAAATTATCTATTATGATGAATTCCTAAAGTAATTTTTACTAAATATTTGATAATTTAAACATATCTTCTCTCAAATAAGCTCTTTCAATTCAATGCTATGAAAGAAATGACAAACTTTTAATCTGTTTCAGCTGATTCCTTTCAAGTCGTCCTAATATAAAAATACAGGTAGGATGTTTACAATTTATTTGTAATCACACTGTAAATAGATTCTTAGCTAATCCTGGTTTTAATATATATTATCATATATTACTAAATCCTCTTTTGGAATATAAATAAATCTAACTGAATCGGAACAGTATCTGAAATAATCAACTAGTAACTAATAATTAGGGATAGTTTTAGAGAAAAATGTTTGTGATGGATTTGGGAAGGAAGAGTACGAATGTTTTTTAAATAAAAGAAAAGCTAAAATAAAAAATAAATAATTCATTTATTTACAATAATAATACATTGTAATTATCAATTGTCTTTTCATTATAAATAATATTTACAATTTTTTTTATAATAATTAAATTTACTTTGGTGTATTTACATATTCTTACAAATCAGGTCAGGCTATGGTAAGACACTTTTCAGTATTTTTTTCGCAAATCCCTTTGTCGGGAGTGACTAAGATATATCGGACGGACAGTATTTGCACGGATCGATATGTAGGTTACACACACAACCGTCGTAATCGCTTCTGTATAGAATGCATATTCATAGCGGCCCCCCTGGTGGAGTATTACAGGCATAAATCAATGAAAAAACTTTTATTTATGTATACAACATATAGTTTCATAAAACATATGACACTCCTTGCAATATCCAAATAATATTACTTGAAATCACATGATTTCATATTTTTTGTTTCGTATCAATAATAAATAATTAAAATTGGAAATTCGCTGTCATGATGGAATAACGAAGTGGCGTAACGCTAGGTCAGTAGAGATACTGTGAATTAATCCCTTCCCTCGAAATAAAAACAAAAACAACAAAATAATTTATAACAGAAAATTGTTTCAGATTTTTCCTAGCTGATTGAAAAATTAAGCTTTATTTTATTTCTACAATATAATTTGTAACGTCCAACCGAAGATTAATATTGGTCACCATTAGACTAGCTACACCTCAAGGTTGTTATATGATCAATACCGTGACCTAGAATCGTTTTTTAACCATGTTTGATTAAATATCAAACCATGTTAAGCATAAAAGTATGTTAAGCAACATAAATATATTATATCTTTTCTAAAAAAATATTTTGAATAAATTATAGCATAAGAAAACTGGAATATGTTGAATACAAAATTTCATATAATTTTAGAAAAATACCATCACAATATAAGGCCAAGCAGTCAGAAATATATATATATATATATATATATATATATATATATATATATATATATATATATATATATATATATATATATATATATATATATATATATATATATTTACAACTTTTCCTTAATCGACCTTTGAGTATTAAATTTAAAGTCAACTATTTAATTGGGAATAAGGTCACTTATATTTTTTATTTATTTATTATTTTTTTTTAGGAATGCTATCTATTTTATATTTGATAAATTTCAGAGTCGAACAAATTTCTTTTATTTCTAGGTTTAAAATTGAACTCTGTGTTCTCAATATAATATTCTCTAGCGGTTTTGTGAACTTTGAATTTCCAGGAAAAAGCTTATAAATGTTCTTGCTGTTATCTACAATGTGTGGTTTAAACATATTGTATTTTCTACATTTTAGAAGAAATACTCTCTGCAGTTCCAAATTTGACAGCTTTTTTATTAATTTTGAATACTCTTTTGCTGTTTTGCTAATATCATTCCCGTTTTTATATTTTATCTCCTGAAAGATGTACATGTTTTTATATCAACTAAAAACTTTAAAACAGTAACAAGAAAAGAAAAACTAACCAATAAGTCAGTCGTAATTCTAGCGAACAATAATTTCTCTCTTCATTCTATATCTTTACAACTTTTTCTTAATCGACCTTTGAGTATTAAATTTAAACTTAACTATTTAATTGGGAATAAGGTCACTTATATTTTTTATTTTTTTATTTATTTTTTTTAATGCATTTTATATTTGATAAATTTCAGAGTCGAACAAATTTCTTTTATTTCTAGGTTTAAAATTGAACTCTGTGTTCTCAATATAATATTCTCTAGCGGTTTTGTGAACTTCAAATTGTCAGGAATAAGCTTATAAATGTTCTTGGTGCTACCTACAATGTGTGGTGGAAACATATTGTATTTTCTACATTTTAGAAGAAATACCCTCTGTAGTTCCAAATTTGACAGCTTTTTTATTAATTTCGAATACTCTTTTGCTGTTTTGCTAATATCATTGCCGTTTTTATATTTTATCTCCTGAAAGATGCTCATGTTTTTATATCAATTAAAAACTTTGAAACAGTAACAAGAAAACAAAAACTGAAACCAACCAATAAGTCAGTCGTAATTCTAGCGAACAATAATTTCTCTCTTCATTCTATATCTTTACAACTTTTTCTTAATCGACCTTTGAGTATTAAATTTAAACTTAACTATTTAATTGGGAATAAGGTCACTTATATTTTTTATTTTTTTATTTATTTTTTTTAATGCATTTTATATTTGATAAATTTCAGAGTCGAACAAATTTCTTTTATTTCTAGGTTTAAAATTGAACTCTGTGTTCTCAATATAATATTCTCTAGCGGTTTTGTGAACTTCAAATTGTCAGGAATAAGCTTATAAATGTTCTTGGTGCTACCTACAATGTGTGGTGGAAACATATTGTATTTTCTACATTTTAGAAGAAATACCCTCTGTAGTTCCAAATTTGACAGCTTTTTTATTAATTTCGAATACTCTTTTGCTGTTTTGCTAATATCATTGCCGTTTTTATATTTTATCTCCTGAAAGATGCTCATGTTTTTATATCAATTAAAAACTTTGAAACAGTAACAAGAAAACAAAAACTGAAACCAACCAATAAGTCAGTCGTAATTCTAGCGAACAATAATTTCTCTCTTCATTCTATATCTTTACAACTTTTTCTTAATCGACCTTTGAGTATTAAATTTAAACTTAACTATTTAATTGGGAATAAGGTCACTTATATGATACAATATAAGTGACCTTATTTCCAATTAAATAATTAAGTTTATATATATATATAGAGAGAGAGAGTGGTATACCATAGCACTAGACTAATGATTATTAATGAATTTCAATGTTTTGTATTTCATAAAATCAAATATTTAGGAGGAATCCGTAATTGTTTTTAGGACATTTTATCTTAGGTTTTTTTTAATTTTATAACTTTTGTACTTTTACCATTTAATCGAGTATCCTGCAAATAACTTGCTTAGATTGACTAAACAAGCCTTGCTCCCTCATCAGCTTTGGTAGTTTGGCCCCCAATTGTTGTTGCTTGTCAATTCCATTCCTTGCCCATATCCAATATCAGGTATTCTAGGTTTCGAGTTCCCTGCCTGCCCGTATACAACATCCGGACCTCCCTCCAATCTCTTTTTCTTCTGCCCACCTTCTAATTCAATTCCATATCCCACTGAGTGCTCTTTTACCCAATCTTGAACCTCCTTAGGACTTTCTGTAGATCGCTCTTTAACCCATTTATCAGCATTCTGACTTGTAATTATTTCCGTGTCTTTCACTTCTATATCTTCTTTAAGATTACTCCACCTTCCATCATTGATTGGTGCGGATTCCTTCCATTTCTGAGCTCCTTGTAAATTTTGATCTTGCATTGCCCACCTGTTATGTTGCCCGTGGTCGTTCCACGGATACTGTTCAGGTCCATCAGGTAATATCCATCTGTTCATGTCTGAAGGAAGATTCCGTGTAGGTATTTCATCTATGTTTGTGTGCCATCTCGGCCTATCGTCGTTATTTTCACTTTCTATTCTCCATCTGTTTCGAACAGGTGAAAATTGATTTGTATAACTACGATGAGGTTGTACTGCTCTTCTATTTTTTTCCTGCTTTAAGTCATAATATCTGTCGTGGTAAACATTATCAGGATCCCAATTCCTTATCGGGTTCTTCTTTGATACTTGATATCTATGTACATTGTCTTCTTCGTCTTCTTCTTCTTCATCATCTTCGTCTGGTTCTCTATAACGTTCCCCTCTATATTTATCTTTGTATCTATTCTTTCTTCTCTCTTTTTGCTTATAATAATTATTATCACTCTCATCATCGTCATATTCGAACTTTTGCTTCTGTCGGATGGGGGGTCTCGCTCCAATAGCTGCTGAATAAAGTTTCGTCGATGTTCTCCATCTTGGTGGCGGTTTCCTTACATAGACTGGTTCTGAATTCTCTGTATAGGCAGCAACTTCGTCGCGATGTCTCTTTGGTTTTTTCCTTGTACTATACCCATCAGCATACAATTCAGCATGCTTCGAGACAAAATCATCGTATTCTTTATTAGAATGATCCTCATATTCAATCTCTTCATCTAATTCCTGGTCGTGGTATTCAGGAGGATCGGCATACAATAGTGGCCGTCGCTTCCTGCCCGGTCTGTAGTCCTTATATCTTGAAGCGTATTCCGGCGGAGGCCTTTTGTTTCTACGGGGTGGTCGTTTGCTCCTTACTGGCGGCCGCTTACCGTGAACCTCTCGTCTTGCGAAATTCGCCTGCAATAGTATTTTTTGTGGGATCGGGATAACACTGTATCCGTAACCACGGGCGTAAAGTGCCTTCCTTGTGCCAGAAGCTACCTTCAGTAGTTTAGGCGGTAACCTAAGAAAAAAGACTCGTTAGTTACTTCAATATTGAAAATTAATTTTATATTCAATTCACGGAATAATATAGTAGTTCTTAACATTATAACCTAATAATAATTAACATAATTGTTAATAACTTAATTTGATTTATTTTTATAATAAAATAAATGATGGATTACCTTGCCTCCACATCTTTTAGGATCACTGCAGTTACTAGGAAAACTGCTACTCCGTATTCCTAAACAAATATAAAAGAAAGCATTATTAATTAGTATTAATATGTAAATTTTTAGTGATATCTGGATAAATCTCAAAGGAAATATAATACGATAGCTATTATAAAATAAAACCATGATTGATGGTTGACTTTAGAGAAAATTAAAGAGAAGTTGGGTGGGGTGTTCAGTCAAAACAATAAAAAGTAAGATGGGATCAAGGTGCTGAGGAGAGATAGTACCTTTAGCTAGGGAAAACCTAGAGACTGGTCCTGACTCAAAACCATGGGGGTAGCAGAGAGGTCTGAGAAACCTGTGGAGGCCTCGAGGACGCTACTGCCAAGACCGTTCGTGCGCGGTGGTGAATCGCATCCTGTCCGAGGCGACCCTGCTTTCAACTGTACAGGGAGGATCTAGACCGGGAGTTGGATAAATATCTCTGGTAGCAGGTAGTAATGCTATAGTACTGGCACGGAGCCGAAGACGGTAGGACTCGGCTGAAACCAGACCATAAAATAAACTCCGAGGGAACAAACCCTACAAATGACTCAGAAGTCGGAGATGTTGGCCGAAACGTGCACGTAGTCCTTGACATATTTTACGATAGTCAAGGAAAACTGTATTACTTCCCAAAATAGGAAGAACGAAGAAGAAGAAAAAATAAATAAATGATATTTATTTTTATTTTTGTATTTTTTTTTATTTTAATTTCAATAATTTATTTTAATAAATTTAAATTTTTTATTTTTATATAAATATATATCATTTGTATATGTTTTTAATTTTTTTTTTTAAACTGAAAACCCCAACCAACTTCGCTTCAATAAATAATAAAAATAAGTTTTTCAAGTCTACTAAGTGTTGATTAAAAGATAATAAGAACAAGTTGATTAACTCGCAAACATTCACAATTAAAAAAAACCAAGTATCTTTATGTTGAATATATTCGTTTAGAGATAAATACAAAAAAAATTTTTTTGTTTGGAAATGATAAAAAATAATTATTCCATATTTTGATTTTTTTTAGTTTAGTGAAGAACTCTTTAAGTTCACAATTATTTAATAATAATAATAATAAGGCTTAGCGAACCCGAAGGTTCGATGCCGACACCACCAATCGCTTGTTACACACCTCCCTCCACCGTCCGCCGTCCAAACCCAGTCCCTTCAGAACGGCTTTAATGCAATCTTCCCACCTTCGCTTCGGTCTTCCCCTCGGACGCTTACCATTCGGCACAGCAAATATTAACCTTTTAGGAATTCTCTCGTTACTAAGCCCAACAACTTTACAAGCCCATTTGATTCGCCGCGATGAAATTACCTCAATTATATTACCCGGATACATCTCACGCAATTCGGCGTTGTGTAACCGTCTGAACTCTCCGGTTAACTCATCCTTCTTCGGTCCGAATATTCTACGCAATACTTTATTTTCAAAAACCTTAAGACGCTGCTCATCCCTTAATGTAAGCGGCCAAGTTTCGCATCCATAAAGAACTGTAGGCAAGATAATTGTTTTATAGATTCTAATTTTTAAGTTTCGGGACAAGAGGCGCGAACTAAGTAGTTTTGTCACACAAAAATAACAAGCATTCCCCGCCTTCAGTCTAACCTTAATCTCTTCTTGAATTTCGTTTTTTCTAGTTATCGTAGAACCTAGATACCTAAATTTATCTACCTGTTCAAACATATTACCATCTATATCGATATCACCAGTAGTATCGCCATTTTTGCAGCTAACCATATATTTTGTTTTATCCACGTTTATTTCGAGTCCTAGTTCTTTACCGGCTTTCATTAACGTTGTCGTATTTAGTTTTATAGTTTCAACGTCTTCGCTTAACAGTACCAGAACATCAGCATAGCCCAGCACGGATGTTGTCCCGCCCAGATCCAACCCTTTCTCGGTTCGCATTACTTCCCTAATGGCATGTTCTAATGCCAAATTGAACAGGACAGGCGAAAGAGAATCCCCCTGTTTTAAGCCCGAACGAACCTCAAATTTTTCGGACAAATTATTACCGATTCTAACTTTATTGAGTGTCTCCGTCAAGCACATCCTGACTAGATTTACTAGTTTTTTTGGAATCCCCTGCTCGATTAGAATATTATACAGTTTCTGGCGGTCAATAGAATCGTAAGCCTTTTTAAAATCTATATACAGCTGGTGAACAATATTAGGAGAAGAAAATATAAATTTATGAAACTATTCTATTAGTTTCTATCACAATTATTTAATTTATTTTTATTTATTTATTGTTACATTCCACATCTACCTGAGCGGGTCATTAGCGGCTTTAGATGGAATCAAATTAGGTGGACAAATTTAATGTCTTTTATAAATTCAAATACTTTTTGTATCTTTTCTTCGTCATCTG